TCCAAATACAAATATAGTTTAATAATAGCCAAATATATAAAAAACTTACCTCTATCAGTTGCGAGAAGATATGGCTTATCATGAATCAAAACCGAGTTGACAACCCTCGACTCGCTATTCTCCTATCTATAATTGAATATCCATAAAAGCAAATGAGTCAACATTTCAAATGAATTTTAAAAGACCGATCCAAAGCAATCTATATTACACATCAAATTCACATTTATAAAAATAAACGGACAAATTGATTATAGCTAAAATAGCAAACCAAACCATGAACCATCAAACAAAAAACAATATATATATATATATATATATATATATATATATATATATATGTAACATCGCCGACTATTACAAAAAAAAAAAAAAAAAAAAGAAGCATAATGCAAGAACCCTCTAGTATTTGAAGGTGTTAGTTGAATGAAAAGATACTTAATGACATAACAGGTAGTAGCTAGTGTTAGAGCTACATAGTGTTTTGATACATATTTGCATGGGGCAATCATTTAACAAGAATTGAAAAGGGATAGTCCAAGCTTCCATTTTACAATAATTACATTTCATATTCTCTCTTTCAAAAAACATCAATTACATGTTGAGGACAAAATTATTAAGTTTTTTATTTCATTTTTTGATGGAACAAAAAACAAATGAAGGTGCACGTGTGAGACATTGTCAATATATATTAATACCAACGGAGTTCGGGTGATGATTATCCTTTTTAGTAATTTGAGTGAGATGTAAAAAAGTATCACTAAGTTTATTCATTAAATGGTTATTTATATAAATATTTTTTATACAATTATCAATATATTTTTCATCAATTATCAAAAAAATTGATAAGAATACTAATTTAATTGATGAATTTATGTGTATCCCATATCAAATACTATAACTCGTTTAAGTTGCAAAAATTGCATGTAATGCTTGGAACATGCGAAATGACATGAAATGATAATTCGAATCATGTTTGCTGATAACAATATATAATTTCAACAAGCAAGTTACCATATCTAAGTGACACCCATCCAACAAGCATGTACAACCAAAAACATTCGAGTCTTGTAACTCGTTGATTTCTATATTTCTAAATAATGGCTTCCCTGCGCTTTCTACTCTCCTACTTTATTCTATTAAGATCTTCCTCTTCCTGTTTAGCTAATTTCAATGCAATCCTTTCTTCAAAATCATCTTGTTCATCTTCATCTCTCGCAACCACATATAAAAAACGGAAAAGTTAGGCCAAAAAACATGCCGGCTTGATATATATTTTGGTGAAGGTAAAAAGACGTTTTGAATTGAAATATGGCATATCAATTATGAAGCTTAATTCTATATGCATGTTGACACGTTAATGGCAAGAATAAGCGGGATACAAAATAAGGATGCGGCAAAGCACTCGTTGATGGTTCTATCAAATTAAACAAAAGTCAATAGTAGATTACGGAAAATAAAAAAATTTTAATCACAATATTCATGCTTGGAATTTCGGGAAATGGCAAGAGGCCATTTTCATGTAAATACATTCATTCAAGCGACTCAAGTAATTAAAGTGCTGCAAATGCATGAAATCATGACGAGCAAATAATTCTATAGACTCAACAACTCACATAGATACAAACGACAAACTTTTGGAATGCCTTCAACAAGCAAATCTGCACCCTTTCGAATTATCATTTCACATTATTGCAAACTTTTTGAAAGCATGAAAGCGAGGTAATGTTGAGTTATAAAAGTTTCCTTGAATTACATATTGTTTAGAGTCCATCAACCAGTTAGAATATATAGCACAAGTTTTTATTAGTATTATTGAGTTATCCAGGAAAGTAATGCTCATGTGAAGGAGAACTTCAATTAGTCTATTAAAATTGCATGCGTAAATATTAAGACATCAAATAGTGCAGAGAACTAAGCTTTAGCTTCGGTGAACCTTACCGACAGATGAGAGAAGTCAAGTTCCTTGTATGTGATCTGAAAATTCGATATCAAATGGTGCGATACGAAAGGATAAAACTCAAAAGTTGTAAACCTTATTGCATATTTAAATAACCACCAAATAACAAAATGGAAGAATAAGGGAAATAACTCTGCTCCCTTAAGATTAAGATGCTTGATAAGAAAGAGTCTGCCCATCCATTGTCTGTAGCTCTCTTTGCAATGAGTTTTATAACTCAACGTTACTCGCTTTCATGCTTTCAAACAGTTTCGATTCTTCCAAACCAAATAACGCCCCCAAATATCCGTCTTCACATTATTGCAAACAAACCCATCAAGTGAATGACAGAACAAACTCAAACCAAATAATACCTGCAAGAACAAAATCAAAAAAATCATACCGCCCTGCCGACGGAAAAAACTTTGGAGGAGATGCGAATGGGTGTCACGAAGGGGCTACTCGAAAATACCACGGCGACGGCTGTCGGACGCAAGCAACCGGAAACAAAAAAAAATACAAATTATAGAGTCGTTGGTAACGGATTCAGCAAGAGAGGGAGTGGGTTTGCAGAGGCGAGATCGGACAATACAACAAGAGAGAAGGGCGGGCATATATCGGAAATGGCGGATGGTTTTGCGGAGACGAGTTTCAAGGTCGTTTTGGGAATGGATTAAGCGAGAGAGAAGGAGTGGGTTTGCAGAGGCGAGAGGCAAGATCGGAAACTACAACGAAGGGAAGGGCAAGCATATATCGGAAATGGCGAGATGGGGTTTGCGAGAGATGAGTTTCGGGGTGTTTTGGTCACGGATTCGGCGAGAGAGAAGGAGAGATTTGCGAGAGGTAGAGGCGAGAGGGCCGAGCAATAGCAAGGAACGGCGAGCAATGGCGGAACATGAGTTTCCTTCCGTTTTGCGGAGAGAAGGAGAGAAGGAGTGGAGTTGCGAAGTTCGATTATGGTCGTTGGTAAGCAAGCGAGAGAGAGAGTGCGGGGAAGAGGAAGAGAAGGGATGGGCGCCAAGGGCGAAACCGGAAGAAGCTGCGTTTCCTTCCGTTTTCTCCCCATTTCCTCCCATTTTTGGGAGGAAAATGGGTCCCACCTCTTTTAGTATTGTTTAATATATTTTTTTCTTTCCTCGGTTTTCTTCGCAAGCCAAACGGGGAAACCTTTTCTTTCCTCCCTATTTTCTTTCCTCTCCCTCACTTTCTACCCTATCCAAACAGAGGAGAGTACTTAATAATTTATTCTTCTAATTCTGATCATATTTCGAGAATGCAAACGCATATATATATATATAGTGGCTGATTTGCAATTTGAACGCAATTTTTGGTGTTTTTATTTTTCATTTGTCAATGTCAAGTGATAATAATAGATACATATCAGCTATGTTCAAATGTATAAATAAGGTGATTCCTTGTCTCCTTTCGAATTGGAAGGTCTGCGCTTCAGACTAGGATGATGGCCCTGACAATTTAATTTTCTTTTTCTTGTCCCCTTCACGCCCCATATGAAGAAGGACGAGTTGGTTTTCTATACGTTTCTGTGGTATACTATTTCCTACTAAATTAGAGTTTGTGGGGTTCGTTTTTTTTCTTTTGCATCCTTCATGCCTTTTTCTTGTTCAAGTTAAATTAGGTTGTGTTTTCTAGCGACGTTCTCTTGCAGAGTTTCCAATTTATATATCTCATTATACATAAATAAATAAAATCTAAAAAAATATTCTAGAATTTTTTTATTTTATTTTTTTATCATGCATGTACTAATCTATATGTAAATGATGGTTTTTAAGGATCAATAGTCTCATCTATCTTTATATAATAGTTTGAGTTTCTAATATATCCTTATTTCCTAGATCAACTTTATTATATTCATAGTATTTTAATTAGTTTTTAATTTATTTTTTTTAGCCAATTTTTTCATTCAAATCATCAGAAATTGACCACATGATTTGTAGATGACATTTCTTTTAACGAAAACATTTCTCATGTGCAATAGAAAAAGCGACTAGAATAATATATTAAAAACTAGTTAAAAAAAAAACATAATAGAATCATTTTAATAGATAAAGATAAATTAAAAATTTTAGAATATTATATAAAAACAAATAATGATTTTCTCCTCCAATTAAATAATTAAACATAAAACAAGTAGTGAACATGTGTAAGGTTCAAATTTAAATATTTTTATTTGAGGAGATTGTGTGTTAAAAAATAATATAAAATTATTTTTAAAAATTCATTCAATAGCTTAAATTTTAGAGAGTCTATTAAAAATAATATAAAACTATTTTAAAAACTGTTTTATTCACCAACAATTTAAATTTTTTTTATTGAAATAGTTTTTTAACAAGTTTTAAAGATGTCAAGATCTTTTGTTTTTCTATATATTTTTATCCCTACATGAATGTATGGTGAATAAAAATTATAAGTTAAAAAATGATGTAAAAACACAGTAAAAAAAGAAAACATCATTTAGTTATGCTGATGGAAGAGGGATGAGAGGTGGATGCAGGTAGGTCGACGATGTAAAAAAACTTGCATTTGATGATGATAAACACAAAGGATGACTAGAATGGCATTTTCCTTCGAGAATGAGAAATTTTTCTCCATTTATTTACCAATTATAAGCATTTTAGGTATAATTTTAAACAAAAATATTAATAAATTCACTAACCAAATTGTTATTCCCACCAATTTGTTTTTAGAAAATTATCAATATATCATCTATTAATATAAGTTACATAATAGTTATTGATAATGGATAAAAGATGTATTGATAAGTATATATAAAAAATGATGAGAATAATTATTTGATTGATGAATTTAGTTATATCTTTTAAAAAAATCAATTTTACATATAAAATTAATGACAAATGTTTTCCTTTAATTGTTTCCTTTTGTCTAAAAACATTCATAATATTTTAATCTTTTCAAGGACATTGAAGAGTTTCCTCTCAACTATAAAAGATGACAATTTTTTTTTTAAAGAAAAATTAGTTTGATTTCCAAAAATAAAAGCTTTATTTGTTTTCATCCCTAAAAAGTTTTCTTGGCGTTCTCATAGGGTATGTCTCCAATTATCTAAAATCAAAATATTCGCTCTTGTGCTGATTTTCTCAACGGGATTCCTTCACTTTTCGTCTCTTCCTTCTCCTGCTCTCCTGATTCGCTTAGCTGCCAATGCTGGAGAAAATTATAAAGTAATATTTTTATATTTTTGACAAATGGATTAATTATTTAATCTTCTGATCGGCATTGATTGTTATTAATTTACTGTTCTTTTTTCTCATCAATTCTTCTAAATTTTCACTCTTTTTTATGATAAAAATTCAAAATAAAATGTAGAATAAAAAAATGATTAAGTTACAAAAATATTTAAAAACATATAAACTAAATAATTAATGTTTTGATAAAAAAAATAATTTATTTATTTTTCAAAACTAAAAGAACTAATTTATAATTTAGTGGCTAACTAGTTGATTACTTGTGTTACAATGCGAGTCGGATAGGACAAAATTATTTTAGAATTTTTTTGTTAAATTTTTTTCTTTTATTATTTTTTACTACTTTTTTCATAAATTTTTTATTTAAAAAAATAATTTTTTTTTGTATTGATTCTTAAATAAAAACTTGTAATAATTTAAGCTAAAATATTAATCAAGAATAAAAAAATACTTTAAAATATATTTTTCATAAGAATGCATTAAAAATTTACAATTAATGTATAGTCTTGTATAAAAAAATAATTAATAAAAAATAAAATTTTATTTTTATCTAATGCTGATGAAAGGATTATTTTTTGAAAATATATGCATTTGATCTATATATATTTACAAACTAATCAATATTGTTAACATAACAAATTATATATGAATAATTAGGTGGTTCATTTAAAAAATTATTTTATTTTAAAGAAATTGGTTCTATAATGTTAAAATAAAAATTCATAGCAAATAATTGGTGTTATAAGTAAAGATATACAGTTAATTTTTAATAAAATAAAAAATTCAATAGTTTCTTTTATACATTTTGATCATATCTAGTGAATGGAGACAAATTAACTAAAATACATTTTTAATTTTTTAGATTAATATATATACACACACACTTTATTTAAAAATGCTAAGAATTTATGAAATATAATATATCAATTTTTTAAAAGGTAAAACAATCATGTTTTAAAATTTTATTTTAAAATACAAATATAGAAAAAAATCATATTATATAAAATATATTAAATGATGAGAATTTTTTAAAAAATAACAAATTCAAAGCATAAATTTAAATAATAAAAATAATATAATCTAAGATATATATTAATTTTAAAATATAAAAAGATATTATATTTTTTTATCATCTCTACGTTGTATGAAAAACACAAACAATAACGTTCGATATTTCATAATTTTTGCCTAAAAAAATTAAAGAAAACAAAAGAACCAGGCCCACATGCCTAGGCCTAGTGCAACTTGCCCACACATGCCTAGGCCGAAAAAGGCAACTTTTAATCTGGTGACCTCTGCAATTTCTAGGGACATCTATTCATTGAAAAGTTAGGTTTTATTATTTTTGATCTTTTAAAATTAAATTCAACCATATTTTTGTTCAAAAACACTTCAAAAATCACATAAATAACATCAATAAACTTTTTTACAACCTCAAAATCTATAATTAATGCACATAAACACATAAAAATTTAAATTTAAATAAAAAGCTAAAAATATTTTTAGATATCGATCTATCTTCTCCGATTATATCATCGATTACCATCATCACCACAAACAATTTTACTTTTAGAGATGAATAAAATGGTGGTAAACTCGATCATTGGGGTGGCCAAAAATGAGCATCGTCGTCTCTCTCTCGTTTCTCACTCCTCTTAACATACGGGGACCAAAATAAATGAAAAATAAAATTATTGATCGAAAAAAATGTTTTAAAAAAGGGGATCAAAATACACTTTTTCGGACAAACAATGATAAGCATAATAAATGAATAGTGATTTTAGAGATAATGCACAATAAATAAATAGTAAAAATAGAGATAATGCAATCGTCAAAAAGTTGAATTTTAACATTTTCAGCTTCCCAAAACCAAATTCAGTTTTATTTTTATCTAAAAACACCTCCAAATCACATAAATAACATCAATAAACTCTTTTAAAATCTCAAAATTCATTTTAATGCACATAAAACACATAAGAATTCAAATCAAAATATTTTTGGATTTTGATATACCTCTTCCAATCATTTAATCGCTTACTACAACTACAAATGAATTCTACTTTTTGAGATGAACAAAATGACGATAGGTTCGACCGTTAAGATGGCTGAAATGGATATCATCGTCCCTCTCTCTCCCGACTCCCTCCTCCTCTTAGCATACGGGGACTAAAACAAATAAAAATGAAGTTATGGATCAAAAAAATTTAAAAGGGATGATCAAAGTGTACATTTTCAGACAAACAATAACAAACACAATAAATGAATAGTGATTTCATAGAGAATGGACAATGAATAAATAGTGAAAACAAAAACAGGGTACAATGTGTGAAAAATGATTTTCATTTTGTTTTAGCTATTTTAATTAATGTTGTTGGTGCCTATTTCATCATGCTATAGTTTCTGTTTTTTTTTTTTTTTTTTTCCATCTTTGTACCAGGAAAAAAAAAAACCAGTGTTGGGTTCCTCTCTGGTGCGCTTGGTCAGATCAGACCAAATTGCCATATTAATTAATGATCTGGTTAAATTCCAAATTCTGGCCTACAAACTATTTTTATGTTTTTTTCTCACTCTAGAAGTGTAGAATGTAAGTTGGGGTCTAGACTTCTACTTCTAGACTGCAGATAGCTAGCCCAGAAGACAAAACCCAAAATCAAGTCTACTGGGCCATTTTCAAAAAGTCCATGGATGGGAATGCGGTTTAGATTAATTATATTACAAAGCCGATTCAGCAAATGATCCGCGTCTTTATTTTTGTCAAAAAGAACAAAAATGACAACGAAATTCCTCATGCATTGAGCATACAAATAAAGAGTACAGACTGAAAGAGACAGATAAGATTCCTATAAGCATATAGACAGGGCAAGCTAAGCAAGTTGAAAATCCCTTTGGAAGAAAGAAAGCCTAGTGGGTATCCCTAATTTACTTGGAAGGAAGTTCGCATTCCTTGTATGTGAGTCAAAGCTTTTTGTAGCCATTGTTATGCAATGAGCTTAGTAGAAGAAAGTCCATTTGGAAGAAAGCTTTACTTGCTACTTGCTAGTAGGTGATCTGTTATGTTTCTGAAGGGCCCGCAAATTCTTAAGCCCAAAAGATATATGTTCCTAATTTTATTTTATTTCATATCATCAAATTCATCCTCCTACTATCCTATCCTAGTTTCAAGATTATTATATGATAAGGAAAATATAAGATTATTTTTTTAATATTTAAGTTAATAGGATATTTTCAGACCAAATTTTACATTAATTTTTAAAAAATATATATAGTTTTTAGATGATAACCCAAAACCTCTTAATTATAGCATATTATATAACCCAATGAGCATGCATATATACATTACTACAACTAATTTATCAATTTTTCACTTAAAAGATGAATTCCATCATTGCATGGTATCATATCATAATCATTTGGAGTTCTATGAATGTGTCTTTGTTTTTCAAAGATCATCCCTAGAAAGACAAGTAATTTGTTAATTACTTCAACTTTTGATACGTACTAATGCCTACATGTATTCAAGCCAATAATAAAAGAATAACTATTTTTATTATTTTTTTCGTAAATAATCAAGGTTTGTTTTTCTTCGTGAAACAAGAACTTGACATTGCAACAATAATAAAATTAATGACAAGTTGTTTTTAATTTAATAAAAGAAGAAGAAAAAGAAGAGTTGATCAAGAAAGGACAAGTGTGATAGCCGACTCTATTTCCAACCACTTTTATTGAAATTTAGTTATGAAATATATATATATATATATATATATATATATATATATATATATATATATTATAACTTTTATTTTTAAAACTGTACCATCAAACCAACCTTTTAAAATTTACTCATATTTCATTAACAACATATAAAGTCATTTGATGTCATTGTAGGTTTTTTGGAACCTTTTCTTATAATTCAGTGTAGCAAATCAAACCCTCAAAACTTTTTTAAAAAAATCAACAATATATTTGGGTGGGATAATTTGTACCAAAAATATCTTTACCGGCATGATCGGCTTAAAAAAAACTCTATCGACACCTCAACCTACAAATGTGCACGTGCGTTTATCACAAGTTCAAACTTCAATGTCTGAATGCAATATTTTTCTTAAAATGGCAGGGCATAAAATCTCAATCGGACCCACCGTACCGGATTTGGTTTGATTGCCGGTATGGCCACGTATATATGCATGGTATATGACAACATGCTAGTGTTCAATGCTTCCTTATACTGCTACTATAAAATTCATAAGCTAAGAACACAAACCAAAGCTGTGTATCTGTTCTCTGTTTATTCGATGAAAAGTGTTTGTCCGTTTTCGGGTGTCTTGGTCTACTAACATGAGAAGATCTCTTGAGAATTGGTAAATAGATTTAGGTGGGCTTGCTGAAATGCTGTCATAAGCTGTGACGTGAAGTAAAGAAAAGTGTTCAATTTCCAAGTTTGCGGTCCCAATTCCCGATTTTGATGACCAGTCTAGTAAGTACTATGAGATGGGGCTTGGGAGGTTACCTAACAGGTAATAGTAATTTCTTCCCCCCAAAAAGTAAGTTCAACGAATTTTGGATGAGAATCGATTATTTTGGACCAATTATGACCAATATATATATATATATAGTAAAATGGAAATTTTATATTTTAAAGCGATCTAAACTGCTCCATCTTAAGAAATGATTGATTTTATTGTTTTATATTTCAAACAGCAAGTAGCTATGAATTAGCTTTCTGCTAAATTCATGCTTATCATATGTTGAATTTGTTCAAATCAATTTTCGGATCGGTAATCCAGATTGATCTTATCCCAAATAATGTGTGTAATTTTGAATTGGTTCGGTTTCATCGATCCTTAAAAATTTAAAACTACAATCGATCCATATATTTGATAATTAAACAAGCTAATTCGATTTTTTTTTTATCATATCAGTTTTTATTAGCAAGTTAATTGTCAGTCACGATGATTGAAAATAACCTTAGACCAGAAAGATAAATAAAGAACAACTTGATATAGAAAGAAACAGCGGAAGTAGTAGTGGTATAGGGGTTCCACAATCGTTATGGTCGGTTAATTATAGCAACAAAATCACTTCCAAGCGACAGATAGCCAATGGTTTTGAAACACTTGCTCAATTAATGTCAAAGGGGTGCATGTAGAATTTGATTAGTGAGGTAATGAAGGGGACTTGACAACAAATATAGAAGAATCTAAGGAGGCCCTCCAGTTAATGTTGAAACGGGCAGATCTGTTCTAGCTTGGTATGTGCTGGCAATTCTACTAATGAAAAGCTCATTAATTTCAACAGGGAATCCCCACCATCTTGATCAAGGAAAAACATAAACACCTAATGAAAAATTTTATAATACATAAAAAATAATTAATAATATATATAATAGTTATTTTATGAATTTATTTTGAGAATAAATATAAATATATATAAAAAAAATTATTTTCAAACTTATCGAAAATGATAAAAAAAATTTTATGTTTTTATAATTTTTTTTATTTTTTTATCTCTTTTCTTAAAGTAAATTTATTGAGTAACTATTATATATACTATTAGTTATTTTTTATATATTGTAAAATTTCTCACCATCTCCTTCAAACTTTAAGTAACTCAAGTAAGTATCATCTTTACTTAAAATCAGCCGTATATGTAAATGATAATCGTGATTTGTGAGCTATGTTACAAAACTTAACGTTCCTTCATCGAGGACCACAGATTTGGTAATGACATTGCGGCATTAGTAGTCGGTGATGTTCACTCTCGTGCTGCCTTATCTATCAGAGGAAAGACGTGTTTGAAGAGAACATCAAGAATAAGGTCGATGTCAAGGCCCTACATGTGCTATTTCTGAGGTCTATCAGAAACAGTAGTACGGTGAAAATTGAATGGAGATACATCTTTCAATGACCACATAGCTCATGAAATATCTCAGGTCGGTCAACAGGTTTTTAAGAGTAAACATTTGAAATATTGATTTTTCGCGTAGATATTTTTTGTTGCTTGGATTCAAAATGAGCCAATTGTCTGCTTTCTTTTTGAATAATCATGGATGTAAAACATGGTGCGTGCATAAATGATTATACCTTTTTGATATATCTAATTCTAATTCCTTTTTGATATACGTTTCTTAAAGATAACCGGTATGTTGATTGACTCATTAATCATAATCATGGTGTTACGTTAGGATACATATGTCATGGATTTACCTCCTAAAAGCTTTATTCAATCATAGTTATATATGTTTTCATACGATTGGAGATGCATTACTCAAATGGAGGATTTGTCTTAGTGAAATAAATTTTATTCCAATCGAAACTAAAATCCCAACTTACATGTTAGTTAAAACATAAAGTTTTTCAGACGAAAATTTCTTGTATTCTTGATCTAATTATATAGATTTGCTTCTCTCTCTCTTTTTAATTATGTTTGCCTCAATTAAAAAGAATTACTAACAAACAACAAAAAGTTGCTCAATTTGATTAGGTTGTGAGTTTGTAAGAATAATCACTCGTAGTGATAGTAACTTTAAATCAAATTTCTTATGCTAATTTGCAATCAAGAATATGCATTCAAGCTTTAAAATACGAAATTAACCAACCATTACGTTAGGAATTCACTATTACAATCCTAACGACAAAGTAGGTAAAGATAGGTGCTAAAAACTTAAAATAATGCTAAAAGTTTAAAAGAAATTTTTATTTATTGATGAAAAACGATACTTATAAATTGAGATTTTTTTCTCCAAATATGATATTCGCGTGTAGAAAATTAGTTCTTGAGGACAACATACATGAGTTGCCGTGACAATATAACACTAGAAAATAAGTCTATCAACCTACTTTGATTATTGTCTACTAGCTACTACTTACAATCTACTCCCTAACACGTTTCAAAAGTGCTAAAACTTGAAATAATGCCCTAAGGCTTTTTGCTTTCTGCAAGTGTTATTGAGTTGATTGTTATTTTTTTTTTTGTCATTTTTTCTTTTTTTGTAGCTGGTATTTATAGGCTTTTTCTCCATGATCTTTTATAGCGTTTTGTGATCTTTTATAGTGCTTCATATTTTGTTATGGCTTTCTATTTGTGTACTCGTAGTACTTCATATTTTGGATCCACAATTTATGATCTTTTAAAAGTAGGTTTGATATTTGCATAGAAAATTAGTTCTCGAGGACTATAAACATGAGATGCAATGACAATATAGCACTAGAAAACAAATCTATCAACCTACTTTTATTATTGTCTACTAGTTACTGCTTATATTCTACTCCCTAAAAAGTTCCAAAAGTGCCAAAACTTGAGTTAAAGCCCTAAGGTTTTTTTGCTTTCCGCAAGTGTTATTGAGTTAATTGTTGATTTTTTAAAAAAATCATTTTCCTTTGTTGTAACTCGCTATTTATAGGTTCTTTCTCCATGATCTTTTGTAGTATTTTATGATCTTTTATAGTGCTTCATATTCTATTATAGCTTTTCATTTTTATGCTTGCAATACTTCATGTTGCTACATGACGTCGGACATAACTCTAAAAAAAAATCTAGGTTTTAGGGATTTGCATCTTGTTTGTGAGTGATTTTAAGGATACAAGTTATTCATGAGTTTGGAATCATCACCTAGTATTGAAGACACTAGAAACGTAAAATAAGCACCGATGCGAGAGATTCTCGAATAAGGAGTTAGTTATGCTTTGGGAAGATATGGATCACCCAAATACGTCATTTCCTAATAAAGGTACCATGTTTAGTTTAATCCTAAATTCATCTCCAAAAATATTTTATTTAGTGCTAACTTATTTTTGAATTTAACTCTAATTTTCAAGTTAAATTAAGTTTTTTATTTTTGGACATTGTATCGTATTGAAATGATCGTTGGTCCCCTTGTTAGGCAACACGTCGATTCAAACATTAGATCTACTTTAAGCCTCGACACAACCGATGTGTCGGAGAACATCCCGATTATTAAATATTGATTTTTTTTTTTTTGCTAACAACGGTTTCTATCGGATATGAGACTTTATAATTTTTTTTTTGCAACAACAATCCCTATTAGATATGAGACTTCGCTAAGAATTTTTTTAAAGTAATTATTTAACCTAATTACTAAAACAAAACTCTAAAATTTAAAGTTAATTAAATAAATTCCAAATAAAAAATCTAAAAAAATTAAATCTAAATTAATGCAAAAAAATAAAAATATATGGAGAAACAAAAATATTTAAATTTAAGTTATCTAAAAAAATGAAATAAAAACATATATAAAAAAATCTTTTTGGGCCCCGAGCCTAATGGCCTATGCCTTATTCCATTCTACCTATTTTCTTTTCTTTTCTTACTAGAGAGGCAAAAGTTGGTTAGGTTTGTTTTTTTTTTTTTTAAAGCTAGGCTAGAGGCTAGAGTCGGGCTAAAACTAGAGGTTGGTTGATTGTTCTAGGTGATTAAATCTAAAAGTAAAGCTGTAATGGGATGACCTTATTATGAAGGGCGACTTAAGTTGAAAATTAAATATGCGGTACATGACAAAATTGAAAGAATGTTTGTCCCGAAAATTAAATATCCAATGCATGATCAAATTGAAGGGCGATTTGTCCCGAAAATTAAATATGCAATACATGACCATGTTAAACGACGGCATGTTCCGAACATTAATTATGCAATGTATGACTAACTTAAAGGGCGGCTTACTCGTGAAAATTAAATACGTAGTGCATGGCCAAATTGAAAGATGGCCTATCTTGAAAAAGTAAATATGAAATGCATGGCCAACTTGAAAGGTGGTTTGCCCTAAAAATAAATACGCGAGTGCATGACTATGTTGATTTAGATGGTCCGTCTTGAAAAATTAAATATGCAATACATGCTAGGTAACTCGCTTAAAATAATTAATTGGGTAGGAAATCTTACCTAAAATGAGAGATGATCGTTGGACGATCCTACCCGAAAAAAAAATTATCGTTAGGCGGTTTTACCTAAATGACAAACTAAATTTAACAATTTTGCTCGAAATAGAGCATTATCGCTAGACAACTTTGCCTAAATGATGGACTAAATTTGGCTAATCCGCCTAAAATAGAAAATTATCTTTAGGCAACTTTGCCTAAATGACGAACTAAATTTTAGTAACTCTGCTCGAAATAGATAATTATTTTTAGACAACTTTGCTTAAATGATGAACTAAATTTTGACAACTCGTCTAACATGGAGAATTATCATTAGAAAACTTTGCCTAAACAACAACTAAATTCGATAAATTTGCCTAAAACAAAAATTCTTGTTAGATAATTTTACCTAAACAACAACCTAATTATTGTTAGGCAACTTTGCCTAAACAACGAGCTAAATTTGACAACTCTGCTTAAAATAGAGAATTATGTTTAGAATATTTTCCTAAATGAAGATCTCGATTTGGAAACTCTATCCGACATAAAAAATTATCGTTATATAAATTTGCCTAAATGATGACCTAATTTTGGCAACTCTACTTGACGTGGAGAATTATCGTTAGAGAACTTTACCTAAATGAAGAT